AGAACACAAGCAGCAAAGAACCACCACGTAGCACATGTTGCCACAATGTTGCCTGTCGTACGTAAGAACTTGCAGCTAGCATCTACTAGTTGAAAGAACATACTGGCACTCCCAGAATTCCCCGGAACACCTCGTTTTCGCTATGAACGATGACTACCCCCGAGCTTCGTGGTCGCAGCTTGTGGGCCCTGTCAGGCGCATCACGTTTCGGGCTGAAGTTCCCCATGTCTTGGGAGCAGGTGGTATACCCATAGGCCCCTAAGTNNCCTTTTAGGGATTACCTTATAGGATTCTAAGTATGATCCACAAAAAGGAACTACTTAGGAGCCTAGGGGTAAGGGCCTGAATGCTTAAAATGGTTCCTTTTCGCGTTCCCTTGAAAAGGGGTACTATAAGTTACTAAAGGGCCCTTGTTATTAGAGGAGCGCTTGAACGTGCGGCTTCTGGCAGGAAGACCACATACGTCGTGCAGTGCACATCCAGTTTTGGAGGCACTACGAGGCACCAGCACCCATCCTATAGTCGTAACATGCACCATAGTAGTCTCCACGCTGAGGGATGTGCCGTATTCTGTGGTCACAGCCCCGAAATACCCTAAACCCTAAACCTCACTCCCTCACTTGGCCAACTCCTTCTCCTGCTCCCGGATCTCCTCCTCGAGCTGGTCCAACTTGTCACCTGCAGCAGGCAGGACCCACAAAAAGGCCTTAATTATCAGAGTTGGGTGTTGGGGTATCTTAGCATGTAAGAGTCCACGGATAATGAGGAACCCTACAGAATATGTTGGTAATTATTCAGGCTTCTATACTACCAGATGTTCGCTGTCAGTGCTATGGACAGCGGCGAAGATCATCACGGTTGTCGATGCCCGTGAAGATAACTTGAAACGCACGTTGGTGAACTAGAACACTTGAACCGGTCCCAGCAAACTTCATTTCGAGATGCGTCAAGCTGAATTCAGGAGTGTCGCTGAAGCATGTCTTATCACCGGCCATTCACTGTGATAGCAAAAGCAGCAACACCAACACCACGACCCCCCAACGCCGATGCCGCCACCACCTCAAGCAGCGGCAGCAGCAGCGGCGGCAGCAGCAGCAGCAGCAGCAACCAGAACATAGACGACGAGTACGACGAGCATCACGACGACAGCGGCGACGATATGCCACGTGTGACAGAAGCAGAAGCTGAGTTATCGTGGAAGAAAGTGCTACAAACAGCAATTCGAAGCTGTAGTGAGGTGGAAGTAGAGGTGGTCGTCGTCGCATTTGCAGAAGCTGCGTCGGCAGCAGTCGCCGTAGAAAGCAGAGACAACTGCAAAGGCAACAAGTTCGGCAGGACACTCGCTGCTGCTGTTACAAATGCTGCTGCGATAACCATCACTTCTGGAATGATAGTATCGTCAGCCAGGTAGCGTTCGGCCTAGGCTTCAAGAGTAGGCTTCGGAGGTTACTCGAACACGAGCCACTACCCACGGGTTGCGGACTCACCGAAACACCACTCGATTTGGGCCTTCAAGCCACTCGGCTCGCGCGTCCATGATCGCTCACCTTTACACTTAGAGACAGAATCTATCGCCGGGCGGCGAATACCCGGGTTGTCCCGGCCGAAGACGATGACCTGTCCAAGGCAAGCCACATCAAGATACACAGCATCATCATCATCATCATCATCATAATCATCACCATGATCATCATCATTAACATCATTATCCAGCCCCATCACTATCGTCATCGTCATGCTCATCATCCTCACCTCCTCCTTGTCATCATCATCATCATCATCAACATCATCACCGCCACCTTGATTCGCTCTCCTCACGACGATTGCTAATCGTTGCACAAGCGGTTGTATACCGCATGGTAGTCGTAGTGATACACTGGTGGTTGCAACGGATAATACGTGCAGCCTTGGTCATGGGACGTCCTAGATCGTGAAAACCCGTAGATGATATCTTGGCCGGAGCTGACCAAAATGATAAGAAACAAAAATTAAACACTTTACAGGCTCTTCACAAAGAAGAAGAGTATCAGACGATCAGATATCCTAAACCCTACACCCCTAAACTTCCCTAAACCCTAAACACTAAACCCTAAAGCCTAAACCCTTCTCTCAGATATCCCATACAGCACTAATTAAACCCTAAACCCTAAAGCCTAAAGCCTAAAGCCTCTTCTCAGATATCCCAGGACCCCATACTTCGCCTCTGGCAGGATGTAGTCGCGCAGCGGGAGCTCCCTTTGAGGCTTCGGGCTTCGGGTGTGCAAGGATCCGCTCTTACCCAGAGAGCCCAATAGAAGAGGTTTGGGGTTTAGGGTTTTGGGGCTTAGGGTTTTGGGTTTAGGGTTTAGGGCCGTTTAGGGTTTTGGGTTTAGGGTTTAGGGCCCAGAGAGCCCAATATCCCCTAAATAAGGTTTTTATACCTTACATTATAGGGGCCTTAATATTCTGGTTTAAGGTATATCCCTTGATTAAGGGGCATCGGACTCTCTGGGTACCTTCCACGGTTTAGGGTTTGGGGTTTTAAGAGAAGTGCGCCATGCATGATCAGAAGAAAGCGCAGCCGCTCTCTGTTGGTTCAATCCTGGTAGATCTCCGAAGAGAGCCCCGGCTCTCCCTCCACCAGAGTGGCAAAGCTCCGAAATTCCCCAACCCTTCTCAAACTCGAGCCCACAGTACCTGATGAGGACGCCGTATGCCCGGATGTCGTCAGGGTTGTTGATGACCCAGTACTTCCGCTCAAACTCATGAGCCTGAGAACAAGGTGCTGGGGTCGCTTGCTCTTGGAGCTGTAGGCTCTGCTTCGGCTTTAGGCCCTATAGTAAACCATATAAGGGTTTAGGGTTTAGGGCTTATATAATAAACCCTAAACCCTGGAGCTCACGAGTTTTTCACTTGAGGCTCAGGAGTGCAAGGCGCTCGATTTCCGGGCTGCCATGTTGAAGCACAGACTGGACAGTGTACTCTCGCGGTCTTGTGAATTTCTTATAGGGTCGAAAGCAGTTTGCCTCATAAACTACAAAACAACTCATGAAGAAGAAAAGTCATGGTGTGTTCGCGTACACGTTAGCCCCGTCCCAACCTCAATGCATGACACAAAAGGCGCCTGGTTTGCGTTGTGATGCCAAGCGTAAGACAACAGCCCCCAAGACTCAAAACTGCCCTTCTGCCAAGGAATTTTCGACATTTCTCGGAACGAAGGCCACTCCTTCCTGTAATGTTGTCTGACCTGTCCAGCTCCAAGCGATCATAGCTCGGGTGGGACTAGGACCTGCAAATAGAAAGCTCGCTAGCAAGATCGTGTCGCCTTACTTGAAGCGTTAGGGCCAGACACGGCTGAAAACTCAAACAGAACCCAAAACCCTCAACAACAAAACCCCTGTCGCTGCTGTCATCCCGGAGTAGCTGTGACAAAAACTCACACGTGTTGAGCCCAAATACCCCTTTAATTAAGGAATGTACCTTAAATCATAATATTCAGGCCCCTATAATTTAACGTATATTCCTTATTTAAGGGGGTATTGGGCTCTCTGGGTACGTTGAGCCCAAAGACCGTCAGGCCCCGGAGCTCAAAGCCTGGCCCCCGACAGCCCCAAGACCCAAAGAAGAGGCATAACTAAGCTCCGCTAAACCCTAAATTAGTATTTTTTTTTTTTTTGACGCCCCTTTTCCCTCGGCCTGTGAAGGTCTCAAGAATGCCACTCTGGCTGAGGCATGATTCGGGAGGCCTTTGAACGAAGAGAGCACCACCAAAACCATTTAGGTTTAGGGTTCAGGGTTTAGGGTAGTTTAGGTCTGGGGTTGTTTTTTCTCCATGCTTTCATGGATACGCGGGCGTGTTACGGGGTGCCGGCCCACGTAAGAAACACTGGATCGGCGTGTGCCCGAAACCCTGACCCCTACACTGCTACAGGCCGAAACCGGCGAGCCCTAAGTCCTAAACCTTGAAGCGGCTAAATCAAGTGGTGCTCGAATTGGGCACATGTTCATCAACTCCCGGACCACACCTTTAAAACCCTCTAGAACCCTTGTAACATCCTATAGCAAACTTACCAAAGACCCTGTGAAGCTCCTATAAAACTTGACAGGACTCTGAAAAACTCCCTCGAACCGCTACCTGCAGAATGCTACTCAAACTCCGAACCCTCGAACCAAACACCAGTCAGAACCCTCATATTCAGACCCAAGGGGCACTCGGATTCGTCACCGGGTTAATGGCCGACGGCCGGACGCGAAGTTGCAGAACGATTTGTACACTGCGCCCTCGCCAGGCAAACCAGGGCTTGGGGTTTGTGGTTTTCTGGTTCAAGGTTCGGGGGTTTTATGGAGCCTGAGGCGTGCTACAGAGGGTGATTATCGGGATTCTATCGGGACATGCCCGGAAGCCCAACCGAGACTCAGCATCTCCGTCTCGCCTCCGTCTTCGTTCATCCTGTTCTTACTTCCATAGGATGCAACTTGCGATGAAGACGCTTCTTAGTCTCATAGCCTCGTTGCTGCTAGGCCCTGCTAGGCTTGCTTCGTTGCGACTGCTACTCAACTGTTATCGGGACACAGGGCATTGCCCACCTCGAAGCAGCGTAGGCTTCGAGTAGTGCTGCGCCACCTGGGCTGATGTTATAATGTCATGACTATAAGAGTACTTGCAGGAACCGGGGACGATGTGGGGGTCTGTAACAGCAATGATAGCACATTATGAATGCAATCAATTTTCAATGCTTGCTCATCATCATCGTCGTCGTCATCGTCATCACCATGTATGTATATACGTATGTAAAAGCATATGTATGTACGTACGTATGTATGTAAAATGTATGTATGTATGTATGTATGTATGTATGCATGTATGTATGCATGTAGGGTATGTATTTGTCTACGCATGTACATGTCACTTCATCAGCAGCCTTTTCTAGAGAGGTGAGCCTGCTGATGCTGCATTGTCATTGGATTGGAGTTCAAGTGGGTTTGGTGCTGATGAAGCCGCAGTCCGTTAAAGGATGTAAGATGTTGCGACTTCTGGTGTAGGGTTTTAGGATTTGTGGGCTTCTGGTTGAGGGCTTTGGGAGTTTGGTCGGATTTCAGAGTTTCTGGTTTAGGGTTGAGGTTGGGGGGCGCGTTGTCTGTTTCTGCAGCATACCCATAGGCCCCTAAGTGGTTCCTTTTTATGGTTTATATTTAGAATCCTACAAGGCAATCCCAAAAAGGAACTGCCTATGGGTAGCACCTACAGATGCATGGAAACAAGCACGCGGATGCAGCCTCGGTCCCGCGAGGGGTCTGGGCCACCCACACAACCACAGGGTGTAGGGTTTATGGCTTATAGGGTTTAGGGTTTAGGGTTCTGCATCATAAAGTTGAAGAGAAGCCCTGTCAAGCCTAAAGGCCATCAAAGAGAAACTGCTAAATCCCAACAGCCTCACGAACCGTATACAGATAAGATAACAACCATGTAAGTCATAGAATTGGTTGCTCTAAGTCAAACCCGTAAAGCTTCCCCGAGTGCTTTCACTGCCTATCAGACGTCGGCAAGCCTCATGTTCGGGATGGGGGCTCCCGAATGAGGGGAGTAGGGTTCCGAGATATGGGCTTGATGGAAGACTGAAAAGAAGTGTCATACTGGAGAAGGATCTCATACATGACCTAAACCCTAAACCCTAAACCCCTCATTTGTTTTACAGCGAGGCCACGTCGATCATGGGCGTGCAGTAGACGCCGGCACCTCTGCTCATTGGTCCAGCGACTCACGGACGAATTCTCGCTGCTGGAAGCATAGTTCCTATGTTCACCATGGGAAGAAGCATTCATATTCTCTGGTCGGAAGACGAAAGCCGGATTTTCGGGGTCTGGTTGATTTGGGGCCTCGGGGGCAAAAGGAGGATCCAGACGGCCACTCTGCAGCCGATAGGTTTTCATTTTACCTAGGGTTTAGGGTTTAGGGTTGAGGGTTTAGGGTTTAGGGGATTCGATGCTTTGCACTCCAATACAGCCTCTGTGTGCGTATACCCACAGATCACCATCCTCAACCTGTCTACTTGTCTGTCTGTCTCTCTCTGCATGTCCGCCAGTCTGTCTCTGTCTCTCTCTTTCTCAGGGATTCGTCAGTCCATCCATGCGCCCATCTCTCTCCATCCGAAGTAGATTTCACCTACAAATCACAGGCGCTTCCCCTGAAAGACCACCCGAGCAACAGATGAGTGGGCACCCGGCCTGTGTCCTTGGCGAACTTCTGCCTTTCGCCCACCCTGAAACCTTAGCTTCAAGAGCTTCTGAGAGTTTTCGGGTCTAGGGTTGTGGGTTTAGGCAAGAGTGTTGGAGCATTCATTGTGGGAGAGTTTCGTATGCTTCCGGGGAGAGCTTTCGGTTTTGTCCCTAGGTGGGTGGGTGCTGATTTAAAGACGGGCCAAATAGCCAAACGTGGGCCGTTGGACAAAGTTCTTAACAAATGCGCGGGGTGGTTCTGCGAAACGAGGGATGCCGATCAACCAGTGCAAACCCGATGCAACCCACACCTTAGGAAAGGGAACGCCCAGTCTGTAGAAACCTTCAGATACACAAGAACGTGCGCCGCCCAACTTTCTGACTGCTTCGTTGCCGCTGAAACTAGGTAGAGTTTAGAAGAAGATGTGTGTATCTGCAATATGCCTAGAAAAGAGTATGCTGTACCTGCGATGTACGGACGAACAAAATGATTGCTCTCCCCATGGTTGTTCTCCAGAACAATGAATCAGCCAAAGACTGCACTCACTACAGTTTCTGGGAACACCTGAACCCAACAAAAACTCTGCAACCCTAACCCCTAACCCCCTGAACCCCTAAACCCCTAAACCCTCTAAACCCCTAAACCCTACAAAACC